TATTTGCATATTAGTCCAAAAAATGTATTGAGTATTTGCATTAGCAAAGTTGTTCATCTATTGTAAATTGAAGTGAGGTGAAGAGCTCGTAGTAATGTTCTGCAGGCATCTTCCCAAGGGGTTTTTAAAAATTATCTTTCATTTGGTGCAGTGGGAGCCAAATCAATATATTATATTTATGAGCTCCAAAGATGAGTCATGTCTGGCAGGGATGATTTATCAGTATGCCAAGAAAGAACAAATTCCATTAAAATAGAGAAATCAGATCAACCTTCCCATCAATTGGATGACAGAATTTTAACCAGACGTAAGTCCCAGACAGTTCCTTTCAGAACATCACTAGTGTGGAAGATTGCATTGATTATATCCATGGTAAGTACCTGTTCTATATACAGTACCTGTTCTGTAGTTAAAGAGCCTGATGAAAAGCCCGTTAAAGTCAATATAAAGATTCCCTTTAAAGTCCGTGAACTTTGGATCAAGCCCAGTTAAAGGAGCTTTGCTTCAAGAACTGCTTATCTATCACCTTTACATTCATTTAAAGGTCAAAACAATAAAGAGGAATTTGAGGGTAGCTGTGGGTGTTCATTAACCAACAGGAAATAACATGGCAGTAAAAGGAAGGAGCAGTGATGGTAGCCACAACAGGAAGGCACATCCTGGGATACTGATAAGGCCTTTAGTGACTCTTACTCCAACTTAATTTTATAGGTGGAAAATTAAGAATAAAGGAAAACTTGCAGTGTTTCGCTAAAAGGAGTGAACAATAATATCATACAGAGTAAGACAACTGATTAGCTCTATCAAGAGCACTTAGCCAAGGCTATTCCCTAACTCTATACTGAGTCTGTGTCTCTATGGGAAAGAAACATGTAATGTAAATGGTCAGTTGCCATGGTAGGCTGGTAGTGCTCTCAGTACACATACATACATGCACACACAAAATATAATTTTATACAATTTGCAAATATTATCGCTTCACCAAATATTCCTGATGTCTGGCATTTTCAGTGAGTCCAAAAGACAGTGGATTGTATAGTGTCAGTTTGTACACTGCCATTTCAAACTCTATTTAGAACTACTGAATCTATACATTTCTTACTCTGAATGAGAAAAAAAACCCAGCTTTCCACTAGTTTACTTAATAATGTGCAGTTTTTATGTTCTGCTTTACAAACTATATATATATATATTAAAAAAAGATTCTAAGTTAATAGAAATAGTTATTTTGTGCACTTACCAAGTTATTCTGTGATAATACTGACTGCTGCTTTTACTGTTGTCAGTTGCTGCATATTTTTAGAGTATTACAATGGCCTGACTTGAACGATGACCGGGGTTGCAGTAAATCTTACCTTAGCTTGCACACAATTAAAATATATTTCCTCCAGTCTGAATAAGGATTATGGAAGATATACATACTTAACTCAGAATTAGGGAAGTGCATATCAGTATTTCACTTGCATAACACAGTTCAGTAAAATATCAGCTTTTGATAAAAATCAAACCTTAATTGGACAGATACAAACCTGCTGTTTTTAAATGCCACCTAATATTGTACTTTCAAGTTATAGGAACGTATTGTGGTCAGACAAGCTTATAGACTAAAGGAAATCAAAATCCCTCCCCCCCGCTGCATTTTTTCTTATAGAAGGCTGTAGCTTTTAACTCTATACTGATTTAAAATAATCTTATCCCCAAAGACATGTAACTTAGTTAAAATATATTGGGAATAGCCTGCATGGAAAAATTCGGTGTCTGCTGGATCATTTCTGCCACCTTTAATTGTCAATGAGAAAAATGAATACAGAAAATTCCTTATATAGCAGAAATACAATAAATCATGATATATTAATCTCTGACACTTACTGTATAATATAATGTAATTTCCCCTGTTACATGCTCCTATGCGTGTCCCTCACTACAGCATCATTTGTCTAGACTACGCTGAAGTTTCGAAAGAGGATATGTAAATTCTGTGGGATTTTGAAAGTGAAAATAGTAAGGATGTGGTACGAAAGCTCTGCTTTCGAAAGTTAGATCAGAAGAAGATATGCAAATTCCTATGGAATTTGCATATCCTCTTGTGAAACTTTAGGGTAGTCTAGATGAACAGTGCCTTTAAAAATGTATTAAGGCAAAATTACAAGAACATCCACACACAAAGAATGGTTTAGAACAGCCCACACATGTAAAAAGGAGATATGTATCAATAGACAGGACAAGTGAAACTGATTGCCCATTATGAATAATTGTAAGGAGGAGGAAAGAGGCTGAACATGCAGGGGAAAATGGACAGGCAAGAGAGCAGGTCAGAAAAACAGGATGAAATTAGTTTAACAGGGAAATATGAAAACATGAAGGAAGACTTTAAATTAGCTTTGATAATAAATTGGATTAGAATTAAGATGACTCAAGATTTGGGTCATAATAAAGCTTTCACTTCTTGGAATGAGAGACTAGTCTGGCTACAGAATGCTGAATTCTCTGACATTTAGCAAGTAGCAATTTAGGAAAATCATAGAAGATTTTCCTAAGGAAGGAATTGAGCGATGCATGGTCTCTTGGAGTGTGTCTAAACTATACCCCTCTGCCAACAGAGGGATGTAGATTAGGCACATCACATTGCAAATGAAGCGGGGATTTAAATATCTCGCACTTCATTTGAATAGAAATGGCCGCCTCTTTTTACTGATGTGGCACTTTGCTGGCAAAAAGCAGCAGTCTAGACGGGGATCGATTGACAAGGAAAGCCTTTTCTGACCGATCCTGTAAACCTCTGTCGGCATTTACTGCTACATTTAGACACACCATTGAATGACACATTCTAGCAATGTTCCAGAAACAGTGCTAAGTCAAAGTTATATAAGAAGGAGATATGGGAAGAAAAGATTTGCTGAGTTAGAAAGTCCTGGTAGATTCAGAGAGATAGGAGAAAGAGCAGGACTTTTTATTCTGAAGTTTAGGTCTCATGCATACACACTGGCTACGTCTACACTGGCCCCTTTTCCGGAAGGGGCATGTAAATTTACATGCCCCTTCCGGAAAAGGGGCCAGTGTAGACGTAGCCACATTGTATACCAAAAGTCGTAATGAAGGTGCCTCACTTCTCAAAATCTCTCTTTGACTCAGACCCCAAGATTATTACATAGGGCCATCAGGTAAAATTTTAACATATGGACATCTATTTTTAGACATCTAAATAAAAGTGGTCTGATACTGAAAGCTAGCTCCAAATGAAGTTTCTTTAACTGTAACATACTAATTATAGATGCTCCATGGCTTTGAAAATTAGGCCACTGTCCAGGAAATAAGATATACAACTCACAAAGTGGTATCTCTTTCTTCTCTGGAAGGAAGGATAGTAGATGGGAGGAGAGAGGATAATGACAAAAAGAATTACTGGTATATAATTTTCACTTGTCCTACATCTTACTTTTCACTATACATATAGTATTAAGAGCTTTTGTGGGCAAACAGAGGGAGATCCAATGCCATTTAAAGGCAATGGGAAAAATCCCATGAAATTCCATGGATTTTGGATTTGGCCTTGAGTGATCTGTGAGCTAGCAGAGGGTTTATCACGGACTGAAAAAACCTTCTGGACAAAAGAAGTTTGTTGATAAATGCATAGTGATGCACATTGGAAAACATAATTCCAATTATACATATAAAGTCATAGGGTCTAAATTATCTCAAGAAGGAGATCTTTGAGTCATTGTAGATAGTTATTTAAGTAATAGAGATTCCACTACTGAGAGGAACCTCATTCTGGCCACTACCAAGGGAGAATAATGGGGTAGTGTATATGGAACTATGTATTTATGCTTTGAAATGAATTCTGGTGGGACCCATCACATATTCTGGATCAGGGAAGAAAATTAAGGAAGTTATAATAGGTTCAAAGTTTTACTTTTTCAACTTGAGAGAAACTGACAGGATTGAATAGGGTGTAATTCAGAGCAGAAGATGACTCTCAGTGTTTCTCAAAGTGGTCCGGGTACTCACTCTGAGAAAGCTGCTAACTGGCCACTTTGGTTTGTTTGCTTACCCATTGGCATTGCAGCTCCCATTGGCTCCGGTTCACTGTTTTTAGCCAACGGGAGCTGCAGGAAGTGGCATGGGCTGGGCCACTGCTTCTCTATGACAGAGTTTCCAAAACCAAAGGACAATGGTTGAATTAACACATTTTTGCATCCTTAATTCTTAGTAAGTGGAGCAATATGAACTGATAATGATATTGTGTATTAATGAAGGTTTATTGGAATAGTTTGGTACAGCTTTATTAGTCAACAGAAGTAAAGTCAGAAATGAGTAACGGTGACACTTTCAACTAGGCCAACCAGTATTCTTTATAAACTACATTAAAAAAAAAAGGGTCAGAAAAATGACCTGTTACTGCCTGACCAAAATGAAAACAGGAATATTCTGTACTGTAATTATAATATCATTTTCACTCAACATTATCCAGCAGCCTCATTGTGATGGATTGATGACAATACCTCTGTTCTGTGTCCCCTCCCACAATGCTAGGGCACACTTGCTTCCATTTTTATATTTTCTTCATGTACCTGTGTTCATGTTTAACTCCCCACACAGAGCAGACAATATGCTGCGTGGAGTGGGGGTTTCATTGGCTGGTATCAGAAGGTTAGCTTATCCAATCTTTAGCAGCTTTTTCTCCATCTCTGTTGTTTTCCCTTTGCCTCCTTTACTCTATTCAGTGATCCCTTGTCTCTATAGGCCATGCACTCAGGTTGGAAAATTTGAAAAAAAACCCACCCACTTGTTTCCGAAAATACAATTGTTTGGGAAAAAACCACTTGTATCACCTGGGCTCTCCCTTATTTTTACAAATTTTTTATAGGCTCACCGCTTCTGAGGAAAAATATTTGATTTATGGGAACTGATTAAGAACAAAACATTAGTTATTCCCTCCCATTCATCTCCAATAATGACAGCCAAGATACATCGCAGAGGATAACAGACAAGGTACATACGGGATTCAGGAGGATGGTGAGGAAGAGTTCACCTCCTCGGATGCTTTTGTCCAAATCTTGAGGACCCCCAGGATACTCCTTGTAGAAAATTGTGTGGGTGAAAAGACCACAGGTTTGTCGAGGAAGTACCTGAGAACAAAGAGGAAAAATGCTATAGAATCACGACCTTATATCTGCAAACCCCACCCCAAAAACCTCTTCTGAGTCTCTGATCTGAAAAGTTCACATAGGCTATGTCTAGACTGTAAGCCTCTTTTGAAAGAGGCTTTTTCGAAAGATACTTTCAAAAAAGCTTCTTTTGAAAAAGAGCATCTAGACTGCAACTTCTTCTCTCAAAAAAGAGAGCCACCTTTTCGAAAGAAAGCACCCAGGCAGTCTGGATGCTCTCTTTCGAAAAAGCCCTGTTTGCATTCAAGAACGCCTTTTTTCAAAAGAGCAGTTTCGAAAAAAGGCGTTCTTCCTCGTGAAATGAGGAGTACTGCCATCGAAAGAAAAGCCACATTTTTTTGATTTAATTTCGAAAGAACGCGGCTGTAATCTAGACGCAGGTGAAGTTTTTTTGAAAAAAGGCTACTTTTTTTCAAAAAAACCCTGCAGTTTAGACACGGCCATATAGATTACTTTATTTTTGCGGCTGACATCTTATTGTAAATAAGCATAATTATGCAGAAGTTGAGACTTCCAGCTGCCAGTTGAGAGGCTGCAGCCCACAGGTGTTCCAAAGCCTTTATTCCAGATCAGAATTTGGGGTTTGTTTTTAGGGATTTGTGAAAGAAAGAAAGAAAGAAAGAAAGAAAGAAAGAAAGAAAGAAAGAAAGAAAGAAACTTTCTCTTCTTTTTGCAAGGTTAGTTAGTTCAAAGACAAATAGCACTTCTCAGTTGTCTTCACTATCTTAGACTATTAATCTTGCTGGTGAGATATGGCATACAATTGGTATTCTAGGTTACAGACCCAAAAAGAACTTGCTCATTCTTTCCTTTGCCCTGAAAATCAAATTAGACCCCACTAGTGAAATATGTACAGGGCTGATAGGACTGTTGAATGAGTATATCCCGAGGTCAGCTCTACATACAATCATAAATCAAGAGATTGTGTGTCAGGATTCTGAAAACTAACACATGGAAAAAAAAACACACCTCACTTAGAGCTATTTCATTAACTCTTTAATCACAAGTACATCAGAGCTCTAAAGAAAAACACTAGGGCTGTGTCTACACTGCAACCCTTTTCCGGAAAAGGGATGCAGATTAGACACTTTGGAATAGCAAAATCCACGGGGTATTTAAATATCCCCTGCGGTATTTGCATTAACATGGCTGCCACTTTTTTCCGGCTTCAGGATAAGCTGGAGAAAAGCGCCAGACTAGACGTGATTCTCCGGAAAATAAACCCTTTTCCGGAGGATCTTTTATTCCTACTTTCAAGTATTTTTTCCGGCTTAGGGATAAGCCGGAGAAAAGCGCCAGTCTAGACGTGATTCTCCGGAAAATAAACCCTTTTCCGGAGGATCTTTTATTCCTACTTTCAAGTAGGAATAAAAGATCCTCCGGAAAAGGGTTTATTTTCCGGAGAATCACGTCTAGACTGGCGCTTTTCTCCGGCTTATCCCCAAGCCGGAAAAAAGCGGCAGCCATGTTAATGCAAATACCGCGGGGGATATGCGGGGGATATGCTAAAACTAGTTAGACTCTACCCCGATACTTGGTTCAATGTTCTTAATTTTGCTAAATATATTAAGATATAATTCTGCCCTAAAATACACATTCATGGCTTTTGTTGACGTTAATTGGAACTTGCATAATTTGTGCAATTACCTTCAACATCCCTAAATTCTCTTTACCATCTTCATTGAACATGATTCTGTATTTTTCCTGTGAACTGCAGGACAGTGTTTTATCTGGTGGTTCATCAGCTGTTTTGCACTACTCTAAAAGCAGCTGTCTATTGTAGTGATGGGCCAAGTGATTCCTACATGTTATCCTGATTTTTATGCATTTCCTTTGGATGGGAAGATGTAGAAAATAGTTCCTCCTCCCCAATACGTAGCCTGTCATAAGTGTAACTCCAGACACTGTGGCCTGAGAGTTCAATAGGTAACCCTGCCCAGCCAAAGTATCCTGCAGTCTGGAGGACTTTTGTTCGTCTTCCATTTTGGAGGGTCCCAGCCCTTTTATACATTGTGGCAAGTTAGACCCTTAGACATTGGTCTAGGGCATTTTACTAAACTGCAAAGGTACCTAATTGCAATCCAGGATTAGTAATCTACCAATACATTTTATTTCTGATCTTTACATTGTAAAGTGCCAGAACCAAAACATAACAAAAAATAACCACCCTCTTTGCTATTATTTTTTATGGAAACTGGCTGTACACTGGAAAAAACTGTTTTGGCATCCTTACAAATCTGCCATCTTGAAGGATTTCAACACCCATTATAAAACTTGATGCCTTTGTAAATCAAAAGATGTTTTAGTCCTGTTTTGAAGTAATGGAAATGCAGTGTACCATGATGCCATTGTGGATGAAGCCCCGTCTGTACCGTGCAGGTTTTAGATGTGGATACTCTTCTGTGCTTGTGACTTGGATACCCCAGACTTTCTTCCAGGCCTCATAAAGCTGGACATGCACAGGGTAGACCCCAGAGTGGTGCGGAGCCACTGCATAGCCCATGTCGGTTGGAATACCATGTTCCTGAAACAAAACAAAAGAAGCCATACATTTGCATATACATGCATAATACTAATGATGCCAAGTTTATTCATATTCTACCAACCAGGAGCTTTAAAGAAAATGTTGCTCTTGGACACTCATGTATGTGTGTGCATTTTGTATGTGCAACACTTACACTAAAATAAGAGAGAGAAGGTGGAAAATACAGTAAAAGCTCTGTTATCTGGCACTTAATCAGAAAGCTCAATTGACTGTCATTTCTGATATCTCCCAATGCAAATCTTTAATCTAGTAACCAGGAGTAAGATACTGCTATAGCAAGGGTACATCTACACAGCAGTGTTATTTTGGAATAACTGCCTTTGTTTCAAAATAACAAATTGCACGTCTACACAGCAACCCATTATTTTGAAATAGTGTCAAGATGGAGGACTTCTTACTCTGACTCCTGTAACCCTCATTTCACGAGGAGTAAGAGAAGTTAAAGGAAAAATGTTCTTCCTTCGACCACCTGCTGTGTAGATAGTGCCAAAAGCCAAATTAAGCTATTTCAACTTCAGCTATGCAATTGATGTAGCTGAAGTTGGGTATCTTAACTTGACTTTTGCTCTACAGTGCAGACATACCCCACTTGCACTCTACTTTGAGGCAACAGAGACAAAAAAGAGAAGTAAGAAGCTGAAATCGGGGATTTTTTTTAAAAAAAGCAGCTTCCAGGGTGTGTCATTGGATTATTACAGATTCAGCCCAAGCTCCTACACCTTCTACATCTACAATGATAACTGATTTTGATAATGATGACCTAAGACACTGCAAGATTCTGAAGAGCCTTCTGAATTATGGGACGATTAAATTATGCTCCATATAGTTTTAGTGTTGAGTGTATTTCTAGTGATCGGGGAGTACTCTTGATATGTAGTGTCATAAGATAACCTATTATATAGAACATTTTATCTCTATAGATCTAAATGCTTCAAGAAACTACCCCCTCTGTAGAGAAGTTCCACTACTGGATTGGTGAACTCCCATGTACTATTGTATACCCTATTCATTTTATTGTATTCATTAATAATTTTTTAAAAATTGGTATCCTAGTGGTAAAGTATACCTCTCAGTTAACCAAAATATTTAATTAACCTGCACTCTCCATTCCCACAACATGCCAGGTAACAGAGCTTTTACTGTAATTGGCCTTACCATTAGATAAATATGGGAGGGAGGAAATAATCCCATTGGATAATATTGAGCTGGCATTGCTTGGAAGATATTTGACTGCCTGTGTACTATGAATACATCGGGTTGGATTTTTAATTCTCAAAGGCCTGGGAAATGATGCCGTTTTACTTAGTCACATTTCAAGCTGTCTTGGATCAATAAACAAAGAGAAACATGTTGACATGACAATGACCTTTGTTTGTTTATATTTCATATTACAAAAAACAGAGGGATATTTCCATTGCTAGTAGAATGTTTGTTGTAGCTATTTACAAAATGTAGCTCCAGCACATACCCCTGATATACTGTATTGACTCCAGAACCAAAACTGAACTTTGATAGTGAACTTTTCAATTAAGCAATTCTGGCCCAGATCTGTTGAAATCCGTGGCATCACAAAGAAGTCATATTTTTAGAAAGTTAGCCCTAAAACCATCCCCTTCTTTGGATCCCTGGTTATATGGATCATCCATCAATTTTACCTCTTTCCCATACAGGCCTCACTTTCCCCCCAAGTTTATTACTTATTCAGTACATTTATTATTTATATAGTAAAATATGTTTACATGGCACTTTACTACAAATTGAAGTTATGAAATCCTTTACCTGAAGAATTCATAATCTAAAAGGCACACAGTACAGCATAGAAAAACAATTACTGTGTGCTGCTGAATACAGTCTAAAAACTTCAAAGGTTAAGCATTATTTATATTGGTACCCTATGATAACACATTCTTTTGCCAGAAGAAGAGCTTGCCAGAAAGCAAGGCCAATAGCTTATGATAAGTGGAAGCTGTATACTGAATTTGGTGGTCCTAGCTCTTACTATATAAGAGGCATTCTTGAATGGACAGACAGGCAGGCAGACAAACTCTCAGGGTACGTCTAGACTACACACTTCTTTCGAAACAGATTGTCTAGACAGTCACAACTTTTTTTGAAAAAACGATCCACTTTTTTGAAAGAGAGCATCCAGGCAATCTGGATGCTCTCTTTCAAAAAAGGCCTGCTTGCGGTCAAGAAAGCCTTTTTTTGAAAGAGTTCTTTCGAAAAAAGGAGTTCTTCCTTGTAAAAGCAGGTTTACTGCTGTGAAAAAACTGCTGTGTTCTTTCTATTTAATTTCGAAAGAACATGGTGGCAGTCTAGACGCAGGTGAATTTTTTTCAAAAAAAGCCACTCAAAAAAAACCCTGTAGTGTAGACATAGTCTCAGATATTTAGTAAATAATCTAGATCAAGGATCCACTGTGTTAGAAGATATGAAGCTATATAGAGAGTTCAGTGGTGGCTAACCAGTGGCTCAAGAGGTGCATGTAGTTTTTCAGAAGTTAATATGCAATTCCTTGAATCTTTGCACAAATACAGAGTGACTAGCTTCCATAGCTGTTACGTCATATCATGCCTGTAACATTATGTGACTGCTCGCAGTGAGCATATTACTCAGTTTGGACTCAGAAACGGGAGTGAAAACACTGTTCATGTTGCTGTGGAAATTTTTGTCATTTTTTCGTACACCATCTAACGATGGAAGGCAAGTACAAACAAAAAAGAAAAAACACAAATAAAAATTGAGGCTTCCAACGGGAGTGGAAGAATCAGTACTGTTTTGATGAGTGTAATGGTAAGGCCATGTGCCTTTTTTGCCAGACATGTATCTCTCAGTTCAAATCTTCAAATTTAGAATCATCATTTCATTTTAAGCCAGGTACATATGCATCAAGAATTCCCACAACACTCTGAACTCTAGGCCTTTAAATGGAAAACTTTGAAAAAACAGATGTAGAATCCCAGTTCTTCACCAGATTTGCCAGTTGTTTACAGACTGTACTATTAGCCTCCCATTATGTGGCCTGGTACACAGCCTGTGCAAAAAAGCCCATTTGAAGGCGAATTTAAAGAAACGTGCCTCCCTGGGGTGATTTCAATCCTGTTACCAGAGAATGAAAATCTACAAAAGAAAATGACCACCCTGCAGCTATCACAACCACACCACAAAGCACAGAATCTCCAACCTGAACAGTGATATCGAATTGTAACTGCACTTGCAATTTCAGCAGTGGACTTGTGCACTGCTTTGGATGACTCATGCAATGTACAGGATAAACCATCAGTTATTGGTATTTGTGCGCAGAGTGTCCGACAACTGTATTTATAAAGTGAGACCTCCTCAATATCATATCAGTAAAGCACAGAACTTGTGCATGAGATCTAAAAGAGGCATTGATGTTGATTGTTGTGAAAAACAACATGCTTTTCCAGAAGCTCACTGCCGTTGGAATGGATGAGGTTCTACCTATGTGAGAATTTGCAAACAGAGTAGTAAATCTGAGGAGAGGTTTTTTGAATATTGGACATTTCACTATATTATACTTGCATAAGAACACAAGAATATAAGAGCCATATTTGGTCAGATCAAGGGTCCATTGAACCCAATATCCTGTCTTCCAACAGTGGCCAATGCCAGATGTCTCAGAGGGAGAAAACAGAACAGGTAATCAAGTGATCACTCTCCTGTCATCCATTTCCAGCCTCTGAAAGAGGCTAGGGACACCACCCTGACCCATCCTGGTTAATAGCCATTGATGGAGCTCACCTCCATGAATTTATCTAGTTCTTTTTGGGACCCCGTTAAAGTCCTGGTCTTCACAACATCCTCTGGCAAGGAGTTTTATGGGTTCACTGTGTGCTGTGTGTAGAAAAACTTCCTTTTGTTTGTTTTAAGTCTTCTGCCTTTAACTTCATTGGGTGACTCCTAGTTCTTATATTATGGGAACAAGTAAATAACTTTTCCTTATTCACTCTCTCCATACCTGTCATGACTTTTCAGACCTCTATCATATCCCCCAATAGTCTCCTCTTTTCTAAGCTGAACATTCCCAACCTTTTAATCTCTCTTCATATGGCACCTTTTCCAAACCCCTAATCATTTTTGTTGCCCATTTCTGAACCTTTCCCAATATCAATACAGTATATCTTTTTTTTAAGATGAGGCAACCACTTCTGTATTCAGTATTCCAGAAATGGGAGTACCATGGATTTATATAGAGGCAATAAAATATTCTCTGTCATCATTACCCCCTTTTAAATTATTCCTAATGTTCTGTTTGCTTTTTTGACTACTGCTGCACATTGAGTGGATGTTTTCAGAGAACTAATCACAATGACGACAAGATCTCTCTCGAGTGATAACAACTAATTTAGTCCCCATCACTTGTATGTGTAGTTGGGATTATTTTTTCTAATGTGCATTATTTTGCATTTATAAACATTACATTTAATTTGCCATTTTGTTGCCCAGGGTCCTAATTTTGTGAGATCCTTTTGAAGCTCTTCACAGTCTGCTTTGTTCTTAACTATCTTGCGCAGTTTAGAATCATCTGTAAATTTTCTACCTCACTGTTTATCCCTTCCTCCAGATCATTTATAAATATGTTTAACAGCATTGGTCCCAGTACAGACCCTTAGGGGACACCACTAGATACCTCTCTCCATTTTGAAAACTGGCCATTTATTCCTACCCTTTGTTTCCTGCCAGTTATCAAGCCATGAGAAGACCTTCCCTCTTATCCCATGACAACTTACTTTACTTCAGAGCCTTTGGTGAGGGACCTTGTCAAAGGCTTTCTGGAAATCTAAGTATACTATATCTACTGGATCACCTTGTCCACATGCATGTTGACCTCCTCAAAGAACTTTAGTAGATGACTAAGACATGATTTCCCTTTACATTGGGAACAACTGGTATCTGAAAGTTTCAAATCTGATCACATCACAATGCGCACAACAGATTTTGTGAATTTCATTCAC